CATAAAGAGCGCGGCTCCCATCCGCGGCTGAACCAGGGCCCTCAGAATGCTGGGGTCGTGGGGCCTGGAGGGAGCCGGAGCTTCGAAGTCCTCTGAGTTTAGGGTTTAGGGGTTAAGGTTTAGGGTTTAGGGTTTAGGGTTTAGGGTTAGGGGAAAACCATGGAAACCTCACCGGCGCAGCGCTCCACGCTCTGGCCGGATGTATAGGATGCAGGGCGCCGGCCAAGAGAGCACGTCTGCACTCTGCGAGACCATGAACTGCCCTGTAACTTCTTCACTGCACAGTTGTCCCATGCAGTCCGAAATATGAAACCGTTAAGATCCTGCAACGCACTATCATGGCACTATCATATATATATATATATATATATATATAGATATAGGAACCAGCGACATAGTCCTGCCCTTGCTTTAACGTCAACACATCTGCATGGGAAAACCGAGCAGTCGCGAGCAAAAGCTCTGGCAGGCAGCCAGAAGTCAAGACTTCAAGCGGCCTAGATTATAAAATGTAGGGGCCTAAATAATTACCAATACTATTTTGGATGGTATAATGGCCCCAAAACCCTATTCTGATTATTAAGAGCCCGTATATTACCAAAGATTCGGATCATGGCGATGCTCCAGGCGAACTGTACTTTGACGAGGTGCTTCTGGCTCCTTCACGCCCTGTGGTGTTGACGCCTTGCAGCAGCCTTCTTTGCTGCCTTCATCTCCGCGGCGATACGATTCCTCCTCCCGCGAATCTCATGCGGGCGGCACACATGGCAGTGCGTACAATCGTCACCCTTCCTGCAGCCATCTCCTCTGCTTGTGAAGAAAAGGCAGGGGAAGCACCGGCCGTTGTTGTGTTGCTCAACCATGCGCAATGGAAACGGACCCGAATGCGTGTCGGCATGTTGCGGCACAAGTTTGAGCTCTTCCCGGTCATCCTCCTTGCCGACCGTCTTTGCCTCCTCAGTGATAAGCTCGGCATCCATCTCCTCCCATGTCTGCAGATCCACCTTCGGATCTCCATGCACTGGGTGGACGACGAGCCCAGCAAGCAGGGGCGCTGCCCAATGTGGCGGTGGGGTCATCTCTTTGCCTGGCTCGGGCATGTCCACGATGGGCTCTGCGAGGTTGGGGTGGAAGATCGGAGAGCAACGAGGAATCGGATCCGACGCTACATGGCCCACAAATGCACCGAAGCTCTCCTCTTCCTCCCTCTCCTGCTCGACATCAAGCCCGCAGCTGGGGAGGATTGGCATGCTGTAGCTTCGCAGCTGCTGGCCGGCAATCTCATCCTCGGTCACATCTGGCATGACCTCCAAGAATGTCCGTGCCACCCTTACAGCAAACTTCTGGTCCTGATCTGGCTCGTGGTGCTTCTCTTCGAAGCTCGGCTCTGCGAGAAAAGCATAGCCTGGTGCGAACTCTTCCCTCTCCGCCCCGACGCGCAACCCCAGCCAATGTGGCGGTGGGGTCATCTGGCTGCTCACGTCCTTCTCTGTTTCGGGCAGGATCGGAGAGCAACGAGGAATCGGATCCGACGCTACATGGCCCACAAATGCACCGAAGCTCTCCTCTTCCTCCCTCTCCTGCTCGACATCAAGCCCGCAGCTGGGGAGGATTGGCATGCTGTAGCTTCGCAGCTGCTGGCCGGCAATCTCATCCTCGGTCACATCTGGCATGACCTCCAAGAATGTCCGTGCCACCCTTACAGCAAACTTCTGGTCCTGATCTGGCTCGTGGTGCTTCTCTTCGAAGCTCGGCTCTGCCAGAACAGCATAGCCTGGTGCGAACTCTTCCCTCTCCGCCCCGACGCGCAACCCCAGCCAATGTGGCGGTGGGGTCATCTGGCTGCTCACGTCCTTCTCTGTTTCGGGCAGGATCGGAGAGCAACGAAGAATCGGATCCGACGCTTTTTGGCCTACACATGCACCGAAGCTCTCCTCTTCCTCCCTCTCCTCCTCGACATCAAGCCCGCAGCTGGGGAGGATTGGCATGCTGAAGCTTCGCAGCTGCTGGCTGGCAATCTCATCCTCCGTCACATCTGGCATGACCTCCAAGAA